CCTAATATAATGATTTTAGAGAATATGCACCTTTAACATGAAATATTTAATAAAAAAGGATTATATTTCTCACACTGAAACTCGATATTTTTTTTTAGTTTTATTGCACGAAAATGTTACTTTAATTTGTGCGAAAAAACCATGTGAGTTTAAAAAGTGCGGTAAGCTGTATATGTAAGTTTAAAGGTAAGAGCTAAGGGAATTGAATTTATATAGTTAAATAACGTTGCTTTTCTTGCTTCTATACTATGTTTTTGGATTTGTAAAAAAAAATCAAAGTTTATAGTTATCAGAAACATATCAGGCCATTTTTCGGAACAAAACCTTTGAATGATAAAAAACACCCAAAAATATAATCATAAATTTATGCTCCTCAATGAATAAATACTCATTGGGATTCTGCAAGCCAAAAATAAATCCATACCAGATACATTGATTGTGATGCTACTATGAATGTATGCAATCAAATATATGTTAGAAAGGATTAAAGTACATAAAATAATTCCCCCTACTTGCATTTGAAAGCATGAAAAAATATCAGGAGACACATATATAAGGTTTTATTGTATAAAAAAGTAGGTGGTCAAATTTCTATGGGGGTCATTTTTCAACGTGTGTGGAGTCGTAGAATTGCTGGTCTGGAATGTTTTTCTACAGTAGAAAAATGACCCTACTTGTCGTGGAATATTAACCCGGGGTCATTTTTCTACGTAGAAAAATGACCCCCTGGTCAATATTCTACGGGGGTCACTTTTCGTCGTTACACCGGCGTTCATAACCTCCTGAATCTTCAAAAATTAAATTCATTTCTTAATTTAATGTATATTATTTACGGAAATTAAGACTTTGCACTCTATCTATAAGATCTATATATCATTTGGTACATATACAGACACAAAACTCTTAATTGCTTTTATGTACCTAAAGTTTTTTAATTTTCTTTTTAGCTAACTTACTTGAGATCTATTTATATTGATTATAAGCCTGTATCACCCATTTGATTTTCCCATTTTATTAAAAAAAAATTAGCATTGAATAATTGAAAAAATTAATATTTCAAAAATGGAGGTATAGGTCTTCAAAAGACTGTTTTGTTAAAATTCTCTGGTCAGCCATAATAAAGTATGCGTTTTTGTTAACTTAAGATATAATTCTTAATAGTTTTAAAGAAAAAAAGCACCTAGACAGTTAAGATTTTGAGAATCATAAAAAATTAAGATATTTTAATTTTTTTCCTGGAAGAATTGGACAGATTCAACATCAATTTGTTTATGTTTTGCAATAAAGATTGCAAAAATTCTCTTGGCAAATGAATGTTTTAATTTTCGTAAGTTTTAACGTAAATTTGATGTGATTTGGTACATAACTAAATAAAATATGATATCACATTTCTTTATATTCAATGTTGGCTGTTGAGTTTTTAGAGGTATATGCTCTGAGACATGTTGTATGAATATTAACCTGCAAAGATATGTCTTTATTTGGTGTTTTAGTTAGTTTAGGACTTATAAGGTATTCAAATGGAAAAATTATCAGTTTGACAGAAAATTCTGAAAGTACGGACCTACCTTAAATAACATTTTTTAAGGAAGAAGAGAAAGGTTATTTTGTGTCACATGAATAAACTTGGAGTTATATCAGTAAAACAGTTTTCAGGGAATACGTGAATCTAAATAAAGAGATCAGAATCCTAAAAAAATAAAGATTATAAATAGTAAGATACGACGTTTGGGTAACAAAAGATAATTTTAGATTGTGAAAGTTGAATCAGTAAGCTTATAAAGACTTATGAGGAAGTATCGGAGACTTTGAATTTTATTTCCTTATAGGGAAGATACGAATTCTATTATATTAATCTTAATATAAGGATATACATGTAACTGAGGTACTTTTTAAATAATGAAAAAAAAAACAACAATTGTTTCCATTTCGTAAGCTCCAAATCCTTATGAAAAAAGTAAATGGGTTTCGTTTCGAGACCGAGGAGGTTATCCTGCATCATTCACGACAACAAAAACTTTATTTATATTCAACTAACTGCTCCTAAATAAAGCTAATGGTTTCCTTTATAGAGAAACGAATTAGGTAAAAAAAATCGAGTTATCGCTGTTCCATTTAACGCTAGAGGGTTTGTTTACTTGTGTATCGACTGCATGACACATATGGAGTTAATGAACAATATTTAAGATCAAAAGTCAAGAAAACAATACAAAATAGAAGCAATGCAAAGACGCACCTCCTTCAAAAACATCAGAGGTGGGATCAGGTGCCATGGAGAAGTGAGCATCTCCTGCTGACCTGTCACAACCGCCGTGATTTCTTTGTCATGATCGGGAAATAACGGAACTATCCGTCGTCAATTCAGGTTATAAATAACGAACTTACAATCAGGATGAAAAAAAAAACATTGAAGGTAAAAGTTGTGAGGAGATCCGTGGAACAGCTATAAAATTATTATAAAATGTTTTATGCAATATATATTGTTTAGACTGCATAAAATGACACATCAATATGGTCTAAATAGGCATTAGATCCTACAGTGAAATATTAATTTCAACCATTCTGGTTTGAAATGTGTTTTTGATCTGTGAATTTTTTTTATGACATTTGTGATTTACTGGAGAATAATGTCTGCCGCATTTCTTTGATCTCATTAATAATCGTGTTAGAATAATGCATACCCGATATTTGTTTTTAAAAAGTATCCAATTAAGATCTAATCAATGAGGCACTTCAATGTTAAACATTGCAAGCCTGCACAGAGCTAGATATAATTAATTTGAATAGATTTCCTTGATAATTGTGAAAAATGGCAATAAACAAAGATTCACATTGGTATTATTCGTCTATTTTAAATCTGTAAAAAATTATCTGTTTTTTTTTCTAAAATATATTGTATTTATCACTGTCCAAAAGTTACCTGATCTTCTTCTGACTGCATAAAGTTTACCATAAGTTCAAACGCAGCGTTGTTTTAACTTTATCTTCCATGGAGTTGAAGAGTTCCACTAAAAGAATGACCTGTGTGCAATACTTTTAATGTCTATATATGGAATTTTACACCTCTTCTAGAACATCTTTTTTTATGAAGAAAATATCTGTAATTTATTTTTATCATTTTTTGTACATTTTTCTTTGAATAATGCAAAATTTTACACAATTTGATATCTTTTCAAAACCCCAGGTAACGCATGCTGATTTTTTTTTTTATCTAGGAACATGTAATGGTATTATGTTTTAATTTAGAAAATCTTAAAAAATTATCAGTAGGTAAGGTACCTTGCGTATGTCCTTAATGACGTCATGTCGACAAATGCATTACAATCAGTGACTTGATAATACCTTGCTGTCTTTGATTTGATGTAGTTCATTACTATTGTATAGTTCAAAATCGCAAATAATTTCATTTTCTTGTATTGCAGGGATTTGTCATTTCTTTGTTATGTCAAGTAAATATTTCCCTTTTAAATTAGGTCTGCCTCCTTAAGTAGCCTTATCGAATATCTGAGGGTATCTTACTCAGACTGGCGGCTACAGTAAATGTGAAAATAGACAAAACAATAAAAAGAAATCAGTGGCCCCTGGACTTAAGGATGTCCGATCCCTAGGCAGGAAGAATAACTCTTTACTTTATTATTGAATTCAACAAGTCTCTAAATAATATTTTCATGCAACAATTTTCATTTTATTCCTCTCAATGTAATTCGATGTATTTTTGAAGAAAAATTTATTAGAGGCGGTATAAAAATTTGATATTTGTGTCTTATTAAAGTAAAGAAAAAATTACATATTTAATGAAATCGAAGTGACTCTAATTTAGCTTCAGTTATCTAAGTTTATTAGCAGTGATATGAAATTAAAAGTGAATAATGGTGTTTTCAAAGAAAGTAAACACTTCATACACTTTGCATAATAAAATGATCGAAGTAAATAGGAGAAAAAAATAATACCGAATAAGAATTTCCTTCAAATTAAGCTTGTTTTACTCCTGAAATTTATTTCTTGTTTGATTTTCAATTAGAAAATATGCAGAAGGTAGTTTTATTCGCATTTCCGAAATTTTTTTTTCGAGATTTACTAATTTTCCCTATATACTATGATTAACTTTGAAGATGATTTTTTTTAAAGAACCACTGTGGCTAAATATACATTACTTAGAGAATTTAGAGACATCTTTGTAAGCATGTTCAATAACTTTATGCCTGATTTTCAGAACCTGAAGATTGGATTACTTTAATTAATCAGCAATATCATTGATAGCTAATTTAAAAAAAATGTCCATATTTTAAAAATTCTTTAGAATAATGAAGTATGTTAAGCGTCGGTTAATTTATATCCAACTACTAGAATCCTCAAATAATATAAGAATGCCTATGAACTAGGACAGGGATATGGCGATATCGAGGGTTAGAAATATCAAAATACAAAGACATGGAAAGAAATTTTTTTCTGTCTTCTTCAAAAGAAGCTGATAAAGTTGATCCTTTCTAATGTTCAAGATAAAGTCTAATAGATAGATTTAGAAATTTTGTCAATCATTTCACTGTTTTCTAGTTAATATACTGGGGGTAATGTGAACATTTCCATATGTACCATACAGTGTATGTGTTTAAGTTCACTCCGTTCTTAACATTATAGGGGATGATATGGGAGAACTCCGGTTATGTCTACTATTGACTTATGAATTTTTGAATAGTTACACAGAAGGCATGAGGAAGTTTCGAAGTATTTCCCTGTACCAAAACAAAGTACAGAAACTATTGTATTAGTTTTGTTTAAAAATGGATTCAAACACACATTCTCTAATGTAAGTTTAAAAAATAGAATTTCATATACAAAAATATAAAGCTTATTACAATTTTAATTAATAAAATGTATATATATCCTTTATATCTAAATAATAAATGGAATTAAGTTTATATATAATCTTTTTTTAATTTGTCTCTTTGTTTTACTTTCTTTCTATATTATTGATATTTAGAGAATTAGCCGTACAGCATATGTCAGAGTCGGTGTTTGTGGGACTGTGCCACATAGTGGGAACATCACAACAGGTGGCCAGTATTAGAGATGCTATGGGCATCACGGATATTTTGACAAATCAAGTCAATCATTCATACCCTAGAATGATAAGTGGAAGCCGTGGAGAAGGATTCAGACTAGATGGATCAGATATAGACATCATGTACTGGGAAAATAACAAACGAGTCATCTGGGACTTATCTCAGATACAGTATTACAACAGAAACATATACACATTAATTCTTTGTGACAGTTCCGAAAGCCCTCCAGGATTCTCTTTACTTCAGCTTTTGATTACACGCGTACGCAGCATAAGAACATCGTTATGCACTATAGAAGTAACAAATAGTATATCTACAGCACTTTTCGAAAGGAATAATAGTCTTTTTATATCTAGTTCTCTATGTAGAGAAACACAGCGTCCATTATTTCCACCTGGCTTTATTCCACATGGACCCTGCGTCAGTGGAATTAGTTCTGGATTAGAAAGAGAATTTGCCTTCTGTTTTGCCTCTGACTTTTGGCCTCCATCCGCAGCCTCTTGGATAGACAGATGTCACTCATGGCCCCAGCCAAATGTTGTGTGCGACATAATCAGAAGTGGATGCCACTTTGTAGCAATTGGACATAAACTAAGCAATTTTGAAGACCATGAATGGAGAATTTCTTTTTCACGGGCAGAACAGATACTTGTGCATTCAATGAACCACACTCAGTTCTTAACTTATGGATTACTAAAATTGATTCTAAAGGAAGTCATTAGCAATGGATTAGAAGAAGAGGATAAACTACTATGTTCCTACCACATGAAGACAGCCGTTTTCTGGGTGATTCAACGAAACAATATACCTCAGTGGTGTCCAGAAAATCTCCTGTTGTGTGTTTGGAATTGCTTCAAACTAATCCTTAAATGGGTCTATGAAGACGTTTCCCCTAACTTTTTCATTCCACAAAACAATATGTTTCTGAGTAGAATCCATGGTGATAAGCAAAACCAATTGTTCATTAGGCTACATGCGTTGTATGAGAAGGGTTTAATATCACTGCTACACGGTCCCTCCATCTGGCCCTATGTTTTGATAGTTCTCTATAACCCAAGACTCTCCATTTGTACAGATGAAGACAACTTATTATTTCAATATGTATTTGATTCCGACCTATTTTCTTGTACAAATTGTAAAACTTTAATAGGAATAGAAACTCTGTTTCACTGTATGAAATGCCTACGAGCTGTAGAACAGTTAATGAATACACCTTTGACACCATATCATGTTGTCATCTTACAGAAACACACAACATTCATCTTCCACGAAATTGCCTTTATATTGAGTAACATATACATCAACACGTGTCGAAACAAAATGGTGTATATTGCTGTCAGAATATCCGATCGCATACTGAAATTAACAGGCAAGTTTGGTTGCACTTCTGATATGGTGTACATGGCCATGTATTACTACAAGACAATGAGATTTGTGGACGCATTACTTGTTACGGAAATGACAAAAGTCGTACAGTTATACAAAGCGAATCTACTTTTGTCTACAGATATGTACACCGAAGCATTTAGAGGGTTGTCCTTAACTTCAAAAATGAGGATCTTTACAAATAGGAATATCTTCCTCAACAATAATGTCCGTTATATCAATGAACTATTACCTGAACAACAGTGTAGTAGACAGGAGAGACAAGGTCTAATGGATATACCTACACTCGTACTCTTGTATATGCTGGAGATCTTGTGTTACCGTCATGTTGATGCGACAAAAGTACAAACCGCTCTATTTTTTCTCCAGCAACTAGTCCAACATCCTCAGAGGATTTTCCTACCGGAACGTCAAGAGGACATATCATGGCAGATCCTTGGGATATGTTACCAGGTCACAGGGAATCCTCAATCGGCTCTATACGCGTATCAACAGTCACTTTCAAAAGTACCATTTAGTAAAATAGAAAAGGCTTCACTTTTGAGAATACAGAGTATCCTTCAGTGATGTTGAAGATGGCGTTTAGATGTAGTTTACATGTATGATACAGTCCAAAGAAAAATAAATGTTTCAGATATACACATACAAATTTAAGGATTTAGAATCAGGAGACAATGTTAGAAGCTAGATGGATACCAGCCTAATGCAGCAATTAGTTTGAATTGTGTTAATACAGGTATATAAAACATAAATTTATTTGATCTTCATTGATATTGAAAATCATTCTAAATGGCTTGAAAGGATTTATTTACAATGACAAAAGAATTGACTTATAGGAGAAAACAATTTCCCGGAAAAGGTGACATTTAAATGTTAATCTTTATTTGCTGTTTTCTACCGTATATATGTCTTAAGTTTTCAAATTTGTATTTTATACCTAAAATTTATTATTTACAACTTTTCAATAAACCTACAAAGTCGGCTGAAACATCATTTTGTCCGTTAAAGCGTTGATTTTCGCATGAATTTTGGCCAAGGAGTCCTTCAGGGCAGGCCTGTCCCTAAATAAAATTATGATATTTCGATAGGTTTGGATGTAAGGAATAATTTAAGATAGGATTTTTAGGGGCATCTCTGCCCTAGGGTCGAAATTCACAAAAAACCTACAAAAAATAAGGAAACCTGATTTTGATAATCTGCTTCAAATTTATACCTACAAATATTATAATCAGACTAGCTTAGTTGATATGTGCGCTGACTTTTATATCGTTCAAACTAACATTTTAAAGTCGGGGTTCGAATCCACCTGGTACCACACTCTTAATTTTTTTTAAAATTCGCCTTTTCAAAGACTATTTTAATATTTTTTATAGACTTGTGTATTTTTCTTCAATTATCTATCCTTTATGCACGCCCATTCTTGATATAAGAAACACTAAAGAGATATCAAATCTCTGTGTTATTCAGTATAGGTATTCTTAGCAGCATTGAGCTGCGATGAATGTCAATTGTATATATTCCTTAGAATTTAATGACATGGATTTTGGCTACATATATCAGTAAATGTACTCCGTCGGATTTGATTTAGGTCCATATAATTTGCACATATTTATGACATATTTTTTCACTAATAAAATTGCCTACACATAATGAATAGAATTTCAGAGGCAGTAAACATGCACATTGAGAAGTTATTATAAATATCAATTATTACAAGATAACAAACTCAGGAAATCAATGAAAGGGTTCCTCCTACCTCTACTCGCTGAAAAAAAGATTTAGGACAACAAATATATTGAGCCTAATGCCATTAATAAAAAAATTACTTATCCAAACACAACAGAATATAAATTGATAGTTTCAAAATTTTATTAACAATACTACTAAATATTTTACAAATTTTGCCTTGAGGGCCCATGCAGCTTATACAAGATACTTTAGATAGCAGAATAAGTTGATCTCCCAGCATCAAAACCAGGTACTAGTTATATAACTGTAAAAGTTGAATACTCTGAATCCTGCAGGCACAAAATGCTTGCCTGATATGAGGCATGTTTACTATCACGTGAATGGATTGAGAATGGACTAAACAACTGGAGTCTTTATCTTGGTAAGAAGTGCTCACCTAAGATAGACGGCGTGCTCCAACTTATACAACAAGCACCTGATCTCAATGCTGAGCGATTAACTTCCCATAGTTGGGAGAAAGTAATGAGATATATAAGTGTGTATCACTACGTAAATGGCAAAAATATGCAGATGGTACAGCTGCATAGTCCCCAAGTATGGGATGTAAGGAAGTTGATAAAGGAGTGAAATGTGGGCATGTGACAATTAGAGATGGAAATAGACATATTATATTAAACTATGAATACATTTAATCTACACATATATAAATCAATGCACATAAGTGACTGTCATCTGATGAAAAGATGTTATCTATCCGATACAAATGAACACACTATTAGAAAAAAAAATGCTATTACTAATAGTTTAAAGTGGTAGAACAAATTGTAAATAAGCAGAATGACACTCATCAATAAATCAATAACTTCATCGAATTGCTACATAAAAGTATAGACTTCCTGTACATAAACTTTAAAACTAAATCAGTTCTCTTAAACCTCATGTCCTTAATATGTACACATTAACCTGACCTAGGACATTTTATCTGAATGAAAACTATTGGCCATGCATACTAATTTGTGCTTCTCTAACGACATTGGTTGGTGTTCTTTTACATCTAGTATAGCAATCTGATGACCATCTGCCTAAAGTCTTAATAAGATGGTCTTCTATTCTAGCTAATGCAGCAGAGGTTGCCGCACCGATACGAAATGAGTGACCACTGTATTTCTCTGAATCAAACCCAAGACTTTGTAAGATAAATTGCAAGTGTTCAATAAAGTATGATCTTGTTACAGGAAGCTTATCTTCTGTAATGAAAAACGCTTCTTTAGGTCCAGCATAGCAGAATTCTCTCACCTGCATGTATTTACACATAGATTTTACTGGACACACCTTTGTGTCATTTGAGTATAATACAATACTTGAACCCTTGTGAAAATGATCTGTTTTAGAAGTCTTCAAAAATATCTTAACACAATCTTTGTGAATTTGGACATCTTCACAGCTTAAATGACAATATGGATCAAATTTCTGTTGAATTGTCAGTTCACCACAGCGGAAAAATCGAAAAAGGATGTAACATACATAGCCTCTAACAAAACATTGGTATAAAATGTAAACAAGGAATTCCTTAAAACTATGCAAATTTTTTGTAGTATGTGAGCTGTAATAGGCAATCTAACCTTCTTTTTAAATTGATCTTTACTTTGCACTTTTCTGATTGCATTTAAAATTAACTTCAATCGTTCAATTTAGTGACATTTAGATTAAAAAGGGTTTGGAATTCCCATTTCTAAGAACATGTATCTGATTCCACACAAATATAATCTCATTGTAGAAAATTTAAGCAACAAGTTATGTTGACAATATGCTACAAAATGTTCAAGAAAATCTTCTGATATGGGTGGACATCTAACATCATAAACAACACCATGTATTGAAAGGAAATGCTTGTACGTCTCAAAACCTTGTTTGTACGTTGATCTTGTTCTTTCTGTCACAGAATTGTTCATCAGTTTTTCAACCACTTGTCCGAGTTCCAGATTACTTCTGATACCGGTGGGCATATCATCGGAGTTTCCTCTGCTTGAGGAGCAGCCTGTCTGAATTTCTCCAGCTGTAAGCGAGACAAAGAGTCAGCTATAATGTTTTTAATTCCTGATACATGTTCACTATAAATGTCAAAGTTATAAAGAGCAGCACAAAAGCATAGAGTTCTCATCAAAGATGATATTTGTAAATCTGAGGATCGACGTTTTCGGATAATTTCTACAACAGCAGCATTGTCACAATGGAAAAGAATCCTTTTTCCTTTCCATTCCTTTCCCCAGAGAATAGCTGCAATAGGATATAACGACAATAGGATATAATTCAATAAAAGCCATGGACGGAGATTGTGTACGAGCATTTAGTTCCTTTGGCCACTGTTCTGCAAACCATTTTCCTCTGTAATATCCTCCGAATCCTACTGTAGATGAGACATCGGTATACAGTTCCATGTCGGCGTTACTTATCAACTTGGATTCATAAAAAACTGACACCCCATTCCAATGCTTCAAGAAATATAGCCACATCTGTAGGTCTTCCCTGCTGGCTTGTGTAAACTTAACATAATGATGAAGTTTTTCTACCTTTGTAGACAATTGGATAACATAAGAGGTGAAAGCTCTCCCAGGTAACACAACTCTCGCTGCAAAGTTAAAGTGTCACCGATGACTGTTTCAGGAAGTCCATTACGAAGTTACATATCCGGGTGATTTTTTCCTGAGGTAAACGTGCTTCCATTTTTTCGCTGTCAAGGATGATTCCTAAGTATTCTATTTCCGTTGTAGGGCCCACTGTTTTCTTCTATGATAAGGGTATGTTAAGTCTTTTAAATAAAGTACACAACAAGGTCATGGTCCTTTCTCCAAGCACATCAGGTTCGTCAATGGTAAGAAAATCATCTAACAAATGTAAATATTTTCCATTCCATAATTGTTTTTTGCGATCCAACAAATAGCTTGTGATAAGTGATCAAAGATTTTGGGTGAACTTCTACTACCAAATGGTAGTCGAACAAAGTAGTAGAACAAATCTTTCCATTTCACAAACAACAAAGGCCAGAATCTTGGAGCTACTGGTATCAGCTTAAAAGCATCACATATGCCTGTTTTGCACATAATAGCGCCTTTTCCCAATTCTTTAATTCTTGTTATTGCATCATCTATTCTAACATATTTCAAAGAACATTTGTCTTTGTCAATCAAATTATTTACACTGTCAACCTCCTCATGATCATGTGGTGAAGATAAATCCAAAATATGACGTTTCTTCCCAGAGTATTTACCCGTAGCCAGTCCTAATGGACTTACTCTGTATTTTGAAAATTCGAGTGTTTGGAACGGTCCTTTCACAAATCCTTTCTGAACTTCTGTCTTTTAAAGTGCATTAACAATATCTGGGTTTTTCCCTAGCGGACTGTAAAATCCTGCACTCATATGAATTATCTAGACTTATACTATCACCCATAAATATATCGGATCCATCACATAGTCCACAAGTTAAATAATCAACGAAATTTCTGTCTGGATGATTACGTAGTTCAAACTCTAGTCTATCTCTATTTACTGGTGTAGTGGCTTTAAATTCATCCAGTTCTTGCTGTCCTAGTCACTGTTGAGGCTTTTGTTTCTTTGTTTTATCATCTGGCATCACATTAGTGGATATGGTCTTCTCCGAGTTAAGACTAGGACACTTCTGTTTCCCATGTAATGTTGACATATATTGGGAACAAACATGTGCTCTTCTGCAGTAAGGCACCGAACACCGGTTTGAATAAAAATTATTGCAGATTTGTCTGCCTTCATGATATGCGATATTGCGATCGTGCTTGTCTTTCCTCTGATAACTTCGTTGATGCTTGTCTTTGTCATCATAATTCTCTACGCACATACTAG